ATTCATCCAACTTCTTAGATTTAATGAACTGCAGTTTGTGAAATATTGATTAGAAACTGGATTGTCCTTATGTATTTAACCTTCTCATGGTCTCTGTAAACAAATGAATACTAGTCTGTTAAACCTTAAAGTTCATGTGGGTAATAGCTGAATCACAACTCATCTGTGCTTGAGACCTAGAACCCTAAATTCCAAATTCAATTATGTCATTCATTCATCAAAGAAAGAATACCTCCAAATTTCATTTTCCTCAAACGTAACATAAAAGAGTTTGATGAATTTCAATCTTTTAAATTATTATATGACACTGGAATTTGTGATACTGACTAGTTCTAAGAAATCACTTTTTGTACATTTAAAGCAAGCAGAATATCATTCATTTCAATTAAAATGAATTTAAAGAAACAATCCAAAGCAAATCTAAAGCAATTGGTTTAAGTACAGTATTATGAATATACATGATAAAATTAAACACACTGGAGCAGTAGAAAAAGCCTTATTATTAAAGCACTGTAGGCCAACTGATAGTTGAATCACATTCATGATTTAATGGTATTTACCAAAGGTAACAATGGGAGCTGAGTCAGACAATGCTTCTAGACCCCAGATAAACAAGTCAGTGACTTTCAGAGAGGATTAGGTGTAACTTCTTAGGACTTTTCATTTGCACCAATTTCTTACATCTGTTTGTGCCAGCTCCTGTTTGATGACTTACCTGCCCAGTTCTCTATCTCAGTCACTTCTTTTGGTATCCAGGTTAACTATGGAAAATTCTGGAACTGACTAATTACAATAAGGTCTCAAAATACCATCAAACCCTATTTCAATCATGCTGTCCAAATTATTTTAAAAACATGTTGTCTAAACATGCAAATTTAAATGCCCAACAAAATATAATACATTAAAAAAACAACAACAAAAAACTGTGCTAACAATCACTTCCCAAATAGTGGTTTGCAGCCTGGATTTACCAAAACATGTGGGAAGTATTACCAAAAGTACAGACTCCTAGGCTCCATTATCAGAATTCCTAATCTGAATCTCAAAACAGCCAAACACTGATTCTTTTTTCCTTTTTCTTTTTATGCATTTTGATTTAAAGTACATGAGTGTTTTAGGTGCATGTATAAAGTGCACCATGTATGTACAATGCCGGTAGAGTTCATGAGAGGGTGTAGGATGCCCTGGAACTGGGGTTACAGATGGTTGTTAGCCATCATGATGGTATTGTGAACTGAACTCAGATACTCTTCAAGAACAAGTCAGTAGTCTTAACCATTGAACCATCTTTCCAGTCCTTGTTTTTTTTGGGGGGGAGATTCTGCTTTGAAGACAGTGTGGAGCATGGCACAGATGACAATCCAGTCTCCTTCCATGATACCTATAATCTTGATCTCCTGCTCCTTTAAAAAGGAACTTTAAAAATTTTATAAACACAATATCCTTAGGAATATTTGTCTAAAAAAAATAAAAAACAGACACAGAGAAAACGTTTTTAATTACATTTCATTTATGTATTGGGGGAGAGGCACATGTGCCACAGCACGTTTGTGGAGGTCAGAGGAGTTAGTGGGAGTTAGTTCTCTTTCCACCATGTGGGTTTAGGGATCAAACTCATTAGGCTTGGAGGTAAGAGCCTTTGTCCACTGATTCTTCTCTCCAGTCTAAGACTATATTAACTGATCCCCTAGGACTGAAGTTAGGAATGGTTGTTAGCCACCATGTGGGTGCTGGGAACCAATTCCCAATCCTCAGAGAGCAGCCAGTGCTCCTAACTGATGAGTCATTACTCCAATCTTCCAAGAATCCACTTTTAAGATAAAAACCAAATATATTTATTAAAACGCCATCACAGTTTCCATTCAAATAAAAGCTGAATTCTTAATATTTATTATTGTCTTATTTTCTAAGCAATAACAAAAAAGTCAAAACAAGTCTTGGAAGAAATATTTCAGAAATTTAAAAAAGGGATAAGGTGAGAGTGTTCTTAATTTTGAGAAATCTATTTGTGGAATTATAACATGTTTTATCATATTTCCTTGATTCTAAATCTTAGATTTCTTTTTCCACATTTTAGTATCTCTGAAATCAGTACCCTTATAATTAACTGCATTTTTGCCTTCCTAGTAGTAATAAAAAGTACTGTTCTACAACCAATAGTATTTTAAACTTAATACTATAAATACTGATTTATCTCTTGAAGACAAAGACAATGCCTCTAAAAGCTCCAACTGGGAAAAATACTTGCTAGACTGATTTGAATTTCCTAATACATGAAAGCAATGCACAAACTGTTAGTTAAAAAAAAAAAACAAAATAACTGGCTAGGTGTGTTGCTACACACCTATAATTCAAATACTCAGGCAGGAAGTAGAAACATGAGGGTTCCAAGTTCAAGGATAGTGTAGGCCACACAAAAAACCTGGCTCAAAAAACAAAACAAAAAGGATTCACTAATTACGAATTTACTGATGTTCACTCTCCATCTAAGCTAGCTGATCTTATAATTAGCATCTGAAAAATCAGAACCAACAGAACTTAAAAGTATCACAGATGTGTCTTTGTTTCCTAGGACTCATTTGTAAACTAAAGAGGAAAACTTGTTAGTTTCCTCTTTAGTCACTTAAAGTCTAGGCTATTTTAACTTTTATATTTACTGAGTAATGTTGAACTCACCACAAAATTTCTCATTCTTTTCTATACAACTCTACTACGTACTTCAAAATGATGAGGTCATAAGAAAGTGGTGAATAGGTATAGACTGTCAAGCTCTGGTATGAAACAAAGAAATGAGGGTGAATTAAAAAGCAAAAACGATCTCTGGGGAATAAGATGGAGAGTTTACTTCAAGAGCTCATCTGAAGGAATCCTTTTGAATCACTAATTGCTATAAACCTACTTTGTGTTATTAAAATAATGTGATTATAATAATCAGCACTTGCTATTATTTCTGCTTATAAAAAGGAGAGGAGGTAGGCAGGACATAAATTTGACCTCCAAGGCCTACATAGATGCTTATATTTCTAATCCTTTCACACTGAGAAAGACAGACATGAGGGGAAAAGACAAGAGGAGTGAAAAGTGGGGAAAGAAAATGCAAAGAAGGAAAAAGTGTAAAAGTTATGTATACAGAGGTTGTAAAAAGTTTCTCAATAAGTACTATCTCTTTGTAACTTTACTACTTATCAAAGTAAATAACCAGTTGACATAATTAAGCAGCATTTATTAACAACTTGTTAAACCAACCATAATTACAAAGTTAGTGCACTGTTAACTTTATTCCAACACCTGCTTAGAAAAGTACTTTAAAGCTTTAAAATAACTAATTTTCTCCTCAAAATGATTTTTAAAACAAATTAAATATACAAATAGTATCTAAACTTTTACTGGTTCTTAACATCACTTTATTAGAGGGGGGAAAAAAGTAGGCAAGGAAGAAAATATACATGGTAAATCTCTGAGCAGAAAGGAAGTATGGAAGGTAGATAATTTTGACTGAATCTGAATTTGATTTATAGTTTTGACTTTTCAGATTTAGACAAACGCATTCTAAAACTAAAACGTATTTTTAAATACGTGTTTTTAGTTGTCTGTTATAGGTTCTTATTATTTATTAGTATATAAGAGTGGTATTTTAATTAAATTGGTACTAAACTTTACAATTGGCAGCTGATGATTCCTGATGAGGGAAGAGTTGATCTTCTTTAAGGGAGAAAATCTAGATAGGCCGATTAGACTCCAGTGGATGAACTTACATCGAGGAATGTCTGTGCACACACACTTGACTCAATACGTCTTAACATATATGGCAGAATGCATAAAATCTGGTGGGAAGGGTTATGGGGGGTGTGGATGGGGGAAGGCTATAAAGATGATTAAGATGTTCAGTATGAAATGTACAAAAATTCAATAAAAAATATACATTCAGGGGAAAAATTGTGAGTGACAACTGACAAAGAAACTGTCTGGTTTAACCAGAATTATGACAGGGACATGAAAACTCTTATCTTGGAAGAAAAGAACTAGAAAAAACTTCCATCTAAAAAACACATAGTTACAGGTACCTAACTTTCTACCATTTTCCCAGTTCAGCCATCTAGATTTGATTAATACAGGTACAATCAATTCCCAAATTCTTAGAATAGCTATTTCCCATGAAGTTTCAAGACCTACAGTTTTTCCTATAAATGTTTAACTAGAAATACTACAGTGTTTTATCAGACACTGAGAGGCTTAGGATTCAAAAGTTTTATTGACAACATTCATCACCCTGATCCCATCATCAAGTTCAGAATAATGCAACTCTAAATTTTACACAATAGAATATGATGGGCATCACTTACTATTTTATAATCAAGACTTACTGTGTCACTTCTTCAAATCATACACACATCCTATCTTAATACTGGATATCACATCTCCTTTGTTCCAGTCTTTCCAAATATTCTTTTTCAGAATGGAAACATTGGAGACTGGCTTTCAATACTCAGAAAATCCCTTTTTGTTTTCTAACGTATGGGGGGGGGGGTACATGTGGTGGTCAGAGGACAGCATCAGTTATCAGTCCTTACCTTCCAACTTGTTTCAGACAGGGTCTCTCTAGTTGTTCACAACTACATACAACAAGGCTAGCTGTCCCACAAGATTTATGGGGATTTTTTCCTGTCCTGCCTTCCATCTTGTTTTAGGAGCTGCAATTACAAGTGGTGCTGCCACATCCTGTTTTACGTGTACTGTGGGGATCCAAGCTTGGATGGCAAGTGCTTTACCTACTGAGCATCCCCCCAGTGCTAAAAAAAAATCCATTCTTGTTCAAAGAGAAAACTCATGAGGTAAGACAAAAGATATTTTTTCTAAGTAGTATTCTGTATTTTCATACAAAGCTATGAAAATAAGGAGTAGAAATAATCACATCTTTCACAGTCATAGATAAAATGAATATATTGAACTATATCATAATTTTTAGTTTAGTGCTGATTTTAAATAGCAGTTAAACTTACCCGGACAAGGGCATCATCTATGATATGATCACGTCTGACTTTGAGTCTCAAATACGGATTCAACTGTTGTCCTTGAACTAAACTGTAGAGAACAGTGATTCTTCGTTCACTATACATGCGAATTCTATTGTCATAATATAATCCCAAATTCTTAGTGACAGCATTCAATATAAAGGGACAGGTCATAAAAGAGAATTTGTTCTCTGTTTCTACTTTGAAAAATGTATAATCTTTATCCATTTCTAGGACATCATTCAGTGGTTCATTAATGAATTCTTCAAAAGAGATAAGTGGTTTTCGACAATCTAGAGTTTTAACACCAAGTTCAGTTTCTAGTGGGTCCACTCGAGGACCTTTCTTATTTCTTCTTTCCTCTCCCAAAAGCTCCTGAAGTGTCAATTCACTGGACTCGGGAATGGGCTCTTCATCATCTTCTTCATTGTGATTTGTGTCCACTTCCCCTCCCACTACATTTGCATAGTAAACCATTTTCAAACATTTTGAGGCAGCAACAATGGCATCATCATCATTCACTAGATTTCGGCTGTTAAATTCATTGCTTATGACTTTGTAGGTAATAAGTTGCTGAAATGTTTCCATCATTCTCCGAATCTGGTCTGCACTGTATTTAGACCACAGTCTAATCAGTTTTCCTTGAGCTGCAAGGGGTAGCTTGCTCATAGCTTTGCAAAATAATGGCAATGCCATTTCCAGGTATTCAGGACTGTGGAGATTTCTATTTTCCATTACAATAATGAACAAATTCAGATAATTAGGATCTCGGGAGTACACGTTATGATATGTCAAGTCACATTCCACATTGGGTGACAGATATACAAGAGCATTGAGAAAGGCAGTTTCTATTTTTTCATTAGACAGCAAGCTGGTGTAGACTCTTCTAATAGCATCAATATCCACAGACACATCATCAGGGCCTAATTTTTGTACATTGTTGTCACCCTGTGAGCTGTCACCTATCCTTGAGGAAGATGCTTCTGAGTCTTCTTCCATAGCAGCAGCAGAACATGCAGCCTTTTCCTTTTCATCTTCATCCTTGTCTTCATCTTTTCCTTGAAGAGATTTCAGTTCTTCCTTGGTGTGTTGTTTGACTTTCCGAAAGCTCTGAACCAATGCCTCAGCACTAGAAAAAACTCTTCCAATAACACGGATTAAAGGGGAATAATCCTCTTTTTCTCTACATAATTCAAGAATTTCATATACTAGTTCTTCAGTTAGGTAAGTCACATCTAGAAAATTGAGAAATAGTATTTATTGTCACAATATGCATGTTTACTTTGTTGCAATACGTTCTAGTGAAAAGTAAACATTCTGAATTGTATCATTTAAGAATTAAGAAATTTTAATGTATCTAATTATTAGAATCACCTAGCAAAACTTTTTTTGCCTACCAATTCTTTTTCCATTTAACTAGTATCAAGCAATGCATACTTCTGCATTAACTCTACAAAATATTACTATTAAGTAGGTCACGATACTTCAAACAAGCTTTGCAACCAAGATTAACATTCCTTTAATTATAATAGAGTATTTATGTAAATATAAATATACACCTTTAATTACAAACTAATACATATCGTATTGTTTCATTATTATAATTTATTACGACCCCAATGAAGAGCATTGACTACTACTATCCTTCAGAAAAGGTTTTCCTTTGTACTATTCTCAAAAGACTAAGGAGGCAAAGTTTTATAGGAAAGATTCCTCAGTACCATCACTTGCGAACAACTCATTTTCTACTTCTGTATCTATATTAAAAGCAAACCGGCTCATGAGAAATTTCTCATTTGTTCCGAGATGTCATTCTGTGACTGAAGATGCCACTACTCATCAACTCTGAAGTTAAAACTGCTGTTTGTACCTATGATCCAGGTTATACTACATCTTAACAGATTGACTAGAAATAGTTTGAAAGCAATGAAAAACAGTGGGAACAAGGTAGGAAAGCAAACCAAAAGGGGGGGGGGTGTTTCCCTTTAAAAGATTTTATTTATTATTTTTATTTTATGTGTATGAGTGTAATGCCTGCATGTAAGCACACCCACTATTGTGCGATGTTCATAGAGGTCAGGAGAGAGCATCGATTTCCCTGGAGTTACAAATGGTTGTTAGCCACTATGTGGGCACTGGGAATCAAACCCAGGTCCTAAGAGCAGTCAGTGCTCTTAACCACTGGACCATCTCTCTAGCTCCGTTTTTCCCTTTAAAGCTAACAAAATGAAGGATGTTTGATCTTATGGGAAAAGGACAAATGACATGTTTTATACATTAAAATTTTAGAGACTAAGCATATTGGTCAAATAATAATGCTGAAAACTGTCAATCTGTTAACTTTCTCTCTCTCTCTTTTTTTTTTGAGACGAGGTCTCTCTGTAGCCCCGGCTGGCCTTGAACTCTCAGAGATCAGCCTGCCTCTGCCTCCCAAGTGCTGGGATTAAAGGCTTGCACCACCACACCTAGTTAATCTGTAACTTTCTTAAAAGAGTAATATTATCACCACTAAATACTTCATGGAAGCTTTAAAATGATTTCTATGCCCTATTTAATATACTTAATCCAAAGAAAAATACAAAGTTTAAGAGATTTTTGTTTTTTTAAAGAATGGCTTCCAGAAGATAAACCATGGAATACAAAACTTTACTACAAACCTGATCTGTGGCCTCCTACAATAGTATCAACACTTGTTTCTCTTATAGGCTCTTTTGTGTGTATGTGTGGGGAGGGTGTCATGCCACAGCACATATGTGGAAATCAGAGAACAACCATAGGAGTCAGTTCTTTCCTTCTACCATGTGAGTCCTAGGGGTCACACTCAGGTCATCTGGCTTGGCAATAGAAGTCTTTACTGAGCTGTCTTGTCAAGCTGAGCTTTAATTCTTTTAAGCTCTTATCTTTTAAGGTAGGTAGCAATCTCTTCTTGAAAAGTGTGAAAAGACTAAGACAGAGCCTATTTCTCATTATTCAAAATGGAAATCATTACTGTACCTTCTTTGACAATTTAATCTCCTATACAATTTCTCTAAAATGCAACCAAACCAGAGAAAATACTTACCAATAACCAGTTAAGATGTAATATTTAATATTTTTACCTCTAAATCACTGAATTATAAGAATATTTGAAAAGCACTTAGTATGCATGCAGTAATATATCCTGCCTAAAGAATAATGATGTTCTAGACCCATAAACCCTTGGTCAGCATTTTGTGCTTTCAGAGTACTTTCATCAAGTGAAAAGTGAAAGTGTACCTACTTAGAATGTACCAAGTAATTTTCCAAGTAATGTTCCGTTTAAAATGTTGAACTGGGTTTTTCTGTGTGCATGTGCATGTGTGTTACTATGGGCCTATGTGTCTACAAAAGCACTGCAATCAGAAATATAAATATTTACAGACTGGGTAGCAACAAAACTTATTAAGTGAAGAAAGAGTTTTGTAAGATTCACCTGCACATTTTGATATATGTGCTCCTGAAAATTCCTTGAGATAGGATCTCACTATGGAACTCAGGCAGGCCTAGAACTCATGATCCTCCTGCCTATGCCTGAATACTTGAATTACAGGCAACTAGACCCAGCTCAAAAATTAGTCATTTTCAAACCAGGACATTTCACTTTAGAAAGCAAAACATTTTCTATACAAGAAAAGAGTTGAGATTCACTATGATATCTACACAACTTTCTAACTAGAACTAAAATATAATAATAAAAAAGCCGGGCATGGTGGTACACCCCTTTAATCCCAGCACTCGGGAGGCAGAGGCAAGATGGACCTCTGTTAAATTCAAGGCCACCCAGGTCTACATAGTGAGTTCCAGGACAGCTCAGGATACAGGGAGACCCTGTCTGAGTTGAGATTCACTATGATATCTACACAACTTTCTAACTAGAACTAAAATATAATAATAAAAAAGCCGGGCATGGTGGTACACCCCTTTAATCCCAGCACTCGGGAGGCAGAGGCAAGATGGACCTCTGTTAAATTCAAGGCCACCCAGGTCTACATAGTGAGTTCCAGGACAGCTCAGGATACAGGGAGACCCTGTCTCAAAAAGACCAAAAAAAAAAGAGAGAGATATCATTACTCAGCTTTAAAAGGGAAGGAAATCATCCATGCTGCAACATAGAGGGATTTTGATTATTCTAAGTAAAATAAGCCTCACAAAAAGGACAACTACTGCATGAGTCCATATATATGAGGTACTTGGAGTAGTCAAAACCATAAATTAGGGTTGCTAGCTGCTAGGGGAAGGAAGAAATGAGGACAATGGATACAGAATTTCAGTTTTACAAAATAAAGACTTCTGGAGATGGATGGTGATGACAGATGAACAAAATAATGAATATGTCTAATACCAGTGAGCTGTACCCTTAACGGTGGTTAAGATGATGCATTTTATGCTGTGCCTATTTTATAATAACAAAGAGATATCGGGAAGTGCATGGACTTCTCATGCTGTGCCTCTGCAACGAAGTCTGGGCAAGAGCAACTACAGCCCTGCCTCCATGTAAGATGTGCACCCTGAAGCAGCAGCAGTGACTCACTTCTGCCATGAGGCCCTTGCAGCCCAGGGCTGAGCAGGTCATTTCCTATGTGTTTGTTGAACAGGCACAAGTAGAAGATGGTGACGGAGCGCAGTGTAAAAACCATCTGGTTTGCTACTCCAAGGATGGCTTGTGACCAGCATATGTAAAAACTAATATGATTAAAACATGTATAATTCCTAATGAAAAACAAAAGACTTACTGGAAGAAATAACAAAAATAAATATCCATTTAAACAACAACAACAACAAAATCACATATGGACCAAAACAAGACTAACTATAGCCATTATGTACTAGATTTCTCCAGGGCTAGTTGCATTCCATTGCAGTGGCATATTCTACTTCAGCTACTGTTACTGTCATGCCCACTTTGCTGCAGAAATGTGCATACTGGAGTCAATGCAGCTTCCAAATTCAACATATTCATCTATTTAGATACAGTATGTCAGGAAATTCATGAAATAGGACTAGCTATACATTAAAAGTATCAAAGTTGTGTAAAATTATGAAAGCTCTTCTACTGTGGAAATAAAAGCATGAAGTAGTAACACAATTCCACTTGGATAATTCATTTAAACCTGTTTCAAGTAATGGTAGGTCTATGCCCTTAGCAGTCTCAAAAATTCAATTACCTCCACTAAAGGTAAAAAAAACCTTGAATATTAGTGGGAGAGGGTAGAAAGTTTCAAGAATTTTCAAAATATACGACTATTTTAAAAAGAAGAGATGAGTTGGAGATATAGCTCAGTTGGTAGCATTTTCACCTACCATATGAGACCCTGGGTCCTATCCCTAGCACATACAACTAGTTATGGTGAGGTACACCTATAATCCCAGTAGAAATAGGAAGATCAGAAGTTCAAGGCCAGCCTTGGCTACATGAAATTCTGATTCAAAACAAACAAAGCAAAAAGAAATGACTACCACTGGGAGGTACCACTGGGAGGTCAGGACTTTTGGCAATGATAGTATAGCAAATGCCTGAAGTAAAGTTAAGTAAGATATAGGAAAGATAAACTTCTCAGATAACTATTGTAAAATTCTGCCTTGCCTTCTAAAATGTGGGGGGGGGGCAACGGGGGACCGTCACGGAGGAGGGACAGGTAGTTCTAATATAACATAATCTGAAAACGCTTTATGATCTAATTTAAGTGATTACAATACAAAAACATTACAAGTTTAGACCAATTCATTAAGAAATCAACTTTTGGAGTAAACTCTACTACTGATTGGCAACCAAGTGATCAGTAAAATGTAATCAAGCCACAAATTCAATTATATTCACTAATCGGTTTCACTATACTAAGATGTTTCAAGATCACACAAAGGCAAAACAACAAAGCATTTAAATCTTTGATATTGCTTTCAATTAATAATTCTCAATTGAAAATAAAATATCTTACCTTTAAAATCAATTCTATTTCCTTTTCCTTCCTTCTTGTTCATTTTTATCTCAGAGTTGTTAGGTGCACCTTTTGAGTTCTCAAGGTAAGCGGAGCTTGCTCCTTTCTTGGAAGGATGAGGATCACAGAGTTTTGCATTAATCTTATAAAGCTCGAGGGCTTTAATAGCTGCTGCATTGTTATCCATACGAAGAAAAGTTGGACAGGAAGCACAAAACTCATTCGTGCAGGCCTCATTTCCACAGCCCTCAGTTAACTGGTGGTAGTAGCGTTCTATTAGATGCTTTGCAGCTGCTCGCTTCCTGTACCAGACATTCAAACAATAAGCACAGTGATTAGTACAGCTCAGAAACAAGCTCAACAAATAATCAACGCAAAAGTTAGTTAAGCACTGGAGTAATAAGCTCACATGCTAAGGTAAGATGTAAAAATTGGAAATCCACTCCCCACTAGTGACTAGTGAAATAGTTCATACTTTCTATGATAGAGAATATCAGCTTATGAAAATCATCATTTTAATTTGTTCAAAAATGAAGTGCTTATATGACTAATCCATTTAAACTTGTTTCAAATAGTGGGACTAAACCTCAACAGTCTCAAAAATTTAATTACCTTCACTAAAGAGAGAGTGGAAAGTTTCAAGAATTTTCAAAGCATAGGAGGAAGGCCCTTCAATTCCATACCACAAGAGCTATTTAAAAAAGAAACTTTTTTAATGTTTTCCTTTACAAGGTAGTAGGGAATTAAATCCTACGCAAGCTACACAAGAGTTCTAACACTGTATTACATAATCATCCTATTTTCCCTTTTATTATAGATGATCATTATTTCATTCTAATTGTTACAAATATTTGATTTGTAGTTAACACAGAATATATCTCAGGAATTAAAAGTTTTCTTTCTCAATTATCAACCACGAGAGACTTAAAAGGAACTATAAAAGTGAACTACCTACAGCTAGCACTGTACTAAAGGATAGTGGTTCCAAGTCATACAATCTTGAGCCCAAACTGGCCACTAAACCACCTCATTATAGGACCAATAAATGTTTTAAAGATCCACTGGTACAAATTCATATTCCTCTTACCCAGTGAACTTAAGGCATGTAGATTAATGTTTGATTATCATTATTCAAGCAGAGTAATCAAGAATATAAAAGATTATTGCATCAAGCAAGATGTAGTACATAATCTAGCTCTATGATTTATCTGATTATAAAATTCTATGTTTTAAGAGTATCATAAATTAAGTAGAAGAAATTAATTACTTAAAAAAAAAAACTAACAAGTAAAATAAGGAATAAACTATTTCTTCTGAACCCAAACTCTCACAAGTATGGGAAAACTATACATCTTCAAATCTGTTAAGCACCAGACTTCATTCTCTGAAGATTCATGCAATGACTTTACTAACAGACAGAATGAGGCTAATGGCACTGGAGGCAAACAAAGGGCAAAAATAAGTCTTATATTGTTTTACAAGCAAAACTATGACTATAAACAAAGTAGATGACAAAAAGTGGTAAATCAAACATCCCAACTCATTCAGGCGCTTATATTTAGAAATATTCCATGCAAATTTATAATTCATGCCATGCAAATAGGAGGAAAAATCTACAAAATGAGTCAAAAATTACATGAACAAGAATTAAGATATTTTGCTGTATCTATGAATTTAAAAAATCCCACATTAAAAATTAGAGAGCATGAAAGTTCACTGAGATGTACAGTTTTGGAATGGATGAGCATTTGGTTTTCTTACATTATGTGTTGTTTTTATTAATAAGTTAATTAGAAGTTATATTTTTAATTAACAATTATTCAAGAAATGATTATGCAAAAAGATGCCTACACACTAAAAAATGAAATATAGAATTTAGAAGATTTAAAACATAGTTATTTTCTTCAGTTAATGGGAGATTTATGCCATGCTCTCAAATACTAAAATTCTTTAGTAAACAACAGTGATTTCCTTTCTGTAGGGAAATTATGGATGCACATCACAAGTCATAAATATAAGAATATCAGGTTGGCAAAATGGCTCAGCAGCTAAAAACACCTATTACCAAGTCTGATGACCTGAGTCTGATCCTGGATTCTACATGATAAAATTATAGAACCAATTTCCCTAAGTTGTCCTTGTCCAAAAGCACACAAGAGCCCCCACACATAACACCACACACACTCAAAATAAATGGAATTTTAAAATTGAGTAAAATACGAATTAAAGGTCCAACTTATGAGGAAAAATAGACAATTTAATCATTATTTTTTTTTAATCTCGGAAAAATCAGCATGCCTAATAAGGCTCTGGTTCAATGAGCTGACAGAGTTCAACAAATGAACTAATTACCAACAGTATTCCTGCTGTATTGCTAACGAAAGCTTGTGACAAAGCTGTAGGTAAAAATGAAGCTGTTTGTTTCATAACATAAAATAGTAATTTTTTTCTGAATGTGATGATTTTAAATTGTTTCATGTTTTTGACTCTAGCTAATGTTTTTCTTTAAGTATATACCTGTATAATAAAAATTACTAAGTGAAGACATTAGCAGTTTCAAAACTTCATCTACATGATTCCCAAGTTTTACTTATGTATTCATGATTTTCTAAACACCAATTTTGATTCAAAAATACTAAGATACCTTGCCTTAATAAAATTACTAGGTTTTATTTAAAAGTAGACCTCCAAGCCCTTTTCATATTTATGATGTGCCTATAGTAAAACAAAAGATCATGAAGAGAGAAAAGAACACCTAAGATTTCCTCCTGCAATTTGTATGATCTTCAGCAACTATTTGCCTAAGTCTCAGTTTTACTATCTTTAAGAGTCCTTTTACTTCTCTAGCACTTGCTGAATGCCCAGTAGCAAACTCACCACATTATGGCAAACTATGTCGTGTGAGAAGTTAATAAAAACACTGTTCAAAAAAGTACAGTATTATCTGGTTCAAATTGAGTCACATGCTATTAAAATTGCCATAACTGCTATCATTCTTACAAGCATAGAATTTGGCTATAGTAACTCCTATTCCACTTAACCTTGGAGAAAACATAAGAAGTCACACATCTGATAAGGGATTAGAAAAATCAAGCTTGTCTCCGAAATTTAACCTTCTAATATAACTATACGGAGATTGCCTATTAACTGCTTGAAAAATCACCTCCTCCTCCACATGCAAGTTACAGTTAGCAGCTACTTTAACAAAACTAAACTACAAGGCTGAGAAAAAGGCTCAGCAGTTAAAAGCATAGGCTGCTTGGGCAGAGGACCTGGCAGCTAACAATAGTCTGTAACTCCAGTTCCAGTGGATCTGATGTTCTCTTCTGACCTCTGTGGGCACTGGACAACACGGGCACACTTACATGCAAGCAATACACTCTCATACACATAAATTAAAAATAACAAGAAATTAAAAAAAAAAACTAAACCAGAGGTCATGCCAGAACCTCCATGATACTCGTTATAATCAACTGTATACTAAGCTCACTATTCTTTTAATTCCAGATTATCTATGGACCGCCCCCCATAAACTGTGCAGAACTGATAGTGCCGAAAAATAACCGTTTTGAAATTATTTTCTATAAAATGGTATATTGGAAATGACTTATAGACTCTGAGGCTAGACTTCCGGGCTCTTGTTCTGGGCCTGGTTGTGTGATCTTGGTTATAAGATTGACTTTTTCAGTTTTGTCTCTCTTAGATGGAAGATAATCCTCTGCTATATCCAGCTAGTACACATAGGCTATAATTTTTCTTGGAAGGTTTGTATTCATTCCCAATGATACCAACAAATTATCTATGTATATATAATTCACAGCATACAAAAGGCATATAGATTCAAAGAACATAAAAGGCCTCTAACTTGGAGAAATATACTGATAATGACCATTTAGTAAGCTCCCTGCCAATATTAATGCATATTTATACCAGGAGTCAACAAATTATAGACTGTACCAAACATGGGCTACCATCTCATTTTTTACAGCTAAAAAGTTTGGAATAGTTTACATTGTTTCTTTCACTTTCTCAATCAGATTTTATTTTCTATTTCTTTAATATTTTACTGATTCTTTGAGAACTTCATACAGTGTATTGTGGTCATGTTTAGACCCCCTCTCGCAACTTCAGACCTACCTTACTATCCCTCCTCTATTTCATGTTCCTTATTATTTTTGTTCTGTAAAGGTCTATCAGTTCTGTGTTCCTCAAAAAGCTCTTGGTTATGGATCCATCTCTTGGAGTCTGGTCAACCTACAAGGCATCATACCAGTAAAGATAACTGACTCTCCCCCTCTAAGCAGCTATCAGTTATCGAGAGATCCTCAGCTAGGACTGTGGCTCCATGTCTACCTACCCCTTTCACGTTTGAATTTTGTCTGCCTTGGGCTTGCACAAGTCTTATCATGCTGTCACAGTGAGTTCGTATGTGAAACTTCCCTGTTGTGTCCAGACACCAAGGTTTTCTAGCATTCTACCACCTAGGGCTCTAATAATATTTCTGCCCCCTCTTCCCCAATGATCCCTGAGCCCTGGGAGTGTGATACAGGTATCCTATTTAGGGCTGAGCACAGACTCTTATTCTCTGCACAGTGATCACCTGTGGATCCCTGTCATCTGCTACAAGAAGGACCTTCTCTGGTAAGAATGGAAAGATGCACTAATCTATGCACATAACAGTAAGTCATTTGCAGTCAGTTTAATATTTTATCTATTTAGCAGGATATTAGCAGGTTGGTCCCTATGGCCTGTGACCTATCTAGACACAGGTTCTTGATCTTAGTAACAGTGTTAGATATGGACCCATCTTATGAAGCAGGACTTAAAGAGAATCAGAAGGTGGTTGGTTATTTCAATAACATTAGTAACATTACTGCACATACCAAGTTCACAGCTGGGCAAGGTTGATGATTTTGTTTTTCTGATAGGTATGCACAGCACCTCCTACCACCATAAAAGTTAGGCGTATAGATGAAGCTTTCAAGGTCATTACCAGCTTGATTTCTCCTTGTTTGTTCTACAAGCTACATATGCATAGTCATAAGTAACAGGGGTTACCATCATGTTCTGAAAGGCACCAAGAGCAATATCAATAGCCATTGTTTGAGGGGTCAATGGGACTTCCCTGGTGAACTACTCAAAAAAGAGAGGGGGGGGGTCTACTTCTGGAATTTGGCTTTGTATCTGCTGGGCTGTGATGTTTGGTAGGGCCACTGAACAACCATTATAAGCTAATTTCATTTAATCTCTTTATATATGTATAATCTCTTAAGTTTCTATAGGTTCCCAAATGACTTTGTTA